TTCATCAAATCAAACATATACTTTGAAAATAACATTTAAACTTATACTGCTGTACTGGGAGTATAATCAGCTAATTTATTATTTTAGTTCATTTAATTTCTCTTACAGCAAATGTATTTCTATTATTTCACTTTTATGAAGTAAAATGAGTGCTTGTTTACATTTCCAATGTGTTAGAAAAGACCCCAGCATTATTTGAGAGGTTGGCAGACTTTTCTTTCTGTTGCAACACAGGTGTGAACATGCCCCATGGTGAGCACAGCAGGACTCACCATCACTGCATCTGTAGCGACAGAGTCCATCATCTCCACCGAACAGGTCCAGAGCTGCGTTCAGATACGTGTCGATTTTATGAATCCCGTTCCGGATGGTTTTCAGAGTCATCCTCCAGTCCGGAGTCTCTGCTTCCTGCTTACAGGCAGAAACATCTGGGAAAAGTCCGCAGCAGGAGCAGCAGAGCAAACCCAGCAGGAGAAGCTGGCCGTAGCTGCCGCTCAGGAGCGTTTTCTGACCCATTATCTCAGCTGGAGTCTAAACTCACCTCCCGCTCTGAGGGACATGTCAGTGTTTGGGTCTGCTCATTCCTAGCTCAGCTAAAAACAAACAAAAATCACATCAACGATGCAACGCTTCTATCAGTTATGGCTTTACTTCCGGGTTTAGTGCAATCACGTGATCCTGGAAAAACATCAGGTCTTCTTCTTTTCTATTATGACGGATCGCAAGCAACGTTAAGGTGCATACCGCCACCTACTGTACATGCGTGTGTAGCAACATTACTTTACATCAAATTCTATTTTTAAATTTTGTATTCTGTGAACAAATAAATAATGATTTCCTTAATCTGTGAATATCTTTCATATTACATAAATTTCCCAATATTCCTTTAAGACTCCATTCTTTCCCTGTCCTTCTAGTTATTTTTCTCAATTTCTCCCTTTCATGTTCATAAGGTTCATAGTTCATCAGTACGTGTTCTACATTTTCTTTCTTAAATATAATTTGTCATTTAATTAGGTACGACCCACTCTTAATCTGATCATTATCTTCCCTTCTGTTTCTCTCATTAATGTTTCTATTTAATTCTGATTATTGTACCTTATATAATCCTCTTCCTTTCTTATCTTCATTCCACCTTTTTTGCCATTTTCCCATTTCTTTACTCTTAATAGGCAATTTCCCTTCCCCTTTCCCAAAATTAATTGTAATGGATATTATTCCCTCAAAAGGCCTTTTTGCTAATGTATCTGCTTTTTCATTGCCTTTTACACCATCATGTCATGGAACCCAACATAACCAAATATCAATGCCACCCCTATATAATCTAAATAGACTGTGCTGGATTTCTAATACTAAATCTTTTCTATCATGTCCTTCTCCCTGAATACTTTCTAAAACTGATTTGGAATCTGTACAGACCACCACCCTGTTTCTTCTCCTTCTTTTTCTTCTTCTTCTTATGTTTTTTTTATTGGCGGATGGTAACCAACTTAAGGTGCATTCAGTGATGTTAGAGGGAAGTTATTAATACATACCTCAATGGTATGCATGAATCTACATATTATCTATCAATCAATATCCATAGAAACTCACATATAAAGTAGTATGTGTGTATATGCACATGCATACACACACTTATATTCTTACTTTAAATCCGATTAAATAATCTAGTGTTTTTTTAAATCTAATTAACAGATTTCCAGCAGAATTAGATTTACTTCCTTAAAGGCTTATCATCGAAAATCCAATTTTTTTCCTATTTAGTGTTGATTTTAAATGCTGACATTCCTGTGAATACTCATTACATTCCATTAATACATGTTCCACTGTTTCCATCTGATTACAGTGATTACAAGTCCCTGTTTCATGTTTCCCTAATCTGAAAAGAGAACTATTAAGTCCAGTATGACCAATTCTTAGTGGAAATATGACTACCTCTTCTTTCCCCTTTCTATTTGTAAAACTATCAACCCCCACAGTCCTTTGAATTTTATATAGATCTCTCTGTGTCATGATTATCCCATTGTTCCTGCCAAACCTTACAGATTTTATTCTAAATTATGGATTTACCCTGACTTTTGCTTAAAGGAATACTTAAGTTAATAATATCTGGTTTAAGGCCTGTTTAGCTAATATATGTACTTATTCATTTCCTTCTATGCCTACATGAGCAGGAATCCAGACAAATCGAACAAAACATTTATTATATAGCTGAACTAATAGGTGATATATATCTAATAATAAATCTAATCTACAAGACTTATGAGATTTGATACTTAAGAATGCAGCTTTGACTATCTGATGCAATTATATTACTTCATATTTCCCTAACATTATCATCTCCTGGGAAGAAAAAAAATAAGCAAAGAGGCCACAGTCTAACCTTTAAATAAACTTTATTTACAAATACAGAATATACAATTGCAAACAGTCTTGATGAGCGGGATAACAAATCCACAGGATTCCATGACAAAAAAAGGAGAGATAAAAAAACTAAATAAAAAAGAATTTACAAATTAACTGCATCACTTAGGGTTGTAAGTTTCACAGCTTTAGAGTTGGTGCATATTTTTAAGGAGTCCAAAAAACAGTGAGGTTGGATTTATTTTTAGCAAATTTACAGTCATGTATGTGGATGTTCACCAACAGAATAAAAAAGTTTTTAAGATATTTTTCCCCAGACATACTGTTATTGGAAATACCAAAGAAAACATGTTTGACATTAAAAGGGATAAATATGTTAAATTCCCAACTAAAGAAAATCTTGAAGTCACTACAAAACATTTTATAGAAAGAGCAAGAAAATAAGTGGGTTAATGTTTCTTGATCGATGTGAAAAAATGACCAGTGAGGATCAATATTTGGAAAATATTTATTCATTTTCCAATTAACAAGGTAACATCTGTGTAGAATTTTAAAGGACACCTCCTGTACTTTATTTGAGAGAAAATACTTTCTTGGCAAAAAACATGTATGTTCCCACTCAATATCTGAATAAAGATTGTTCCAAAGAAAGATTGATGCAGGTTTGCTGATAGCATTCCTCTAGATGATTTCTCTAATTTGTATATTTCTAGCTTTAATGCTAAGGAACGGATCTGAATTACCATTAAATAACTCTGGAAATCTATGATATTGGACATGGGCTCTACCTGAGGTTGATATAAGAAATTTCAAACCTGGTGGAATAGCTCTGAAAACAACCACAAATTCTTTAGGTGTCACAGGGAAATTATATTTATAAAGAAATTCACCATAATTAAACAGCTGATCATTAATCCATCCAGTTTTTAAGAAATATGGATTTATGCTTGAAACTTATATTTTAGTTATTCCAAATACAACAGTTATGAAGGGAAAAGTCCTGTTTTTAAATTAATGTCCAGGATAAAAGTAGCTGGTCACACTCAAACCGACGAGGTTTCGTCATCTCACGCTTGTTCAATGCGAACTACATTACCCATGATTCACAGCGGCAGTTAAAAATGGATCAAAAGCTCAACGTGGAATCTGACTGTTGGAATAGTAGGGGGAGGTGCTTTGAAATCACGCGTGGGGTTATGAGTTCAATCTATATTTCATGGAGATCTAAGTTTTGTTGTTTTTTTTTAAACCTGAACAACAGGTTTAATAATGACAAAAACGGATTAAATTAAACTGATTGTTGAAAGTTTGCAACAGCACCATCTGCTGGATGGATAATTTCAAGGAATTTCTGTGGAACAACATTTTAACAGCCCATCAAGCTTAACCCCTTGAACCCTACGGACCCGCCGGCGGGTCCAGCTGCTACATGACCTCGTAACTTTACCAAACCCCCAGTATTGATGTAAAAAACATATTTGGCACAGTTTGGTGACATTTATGGATAAATGTGCCAAACTGGCCCCTCCGCCTAAGAAATTTCTCACTAATACCATTCTAAAATAAATATGATTCATCTGATTGAGTCCACATTTTGTATATTTTTACACAACATTTAGATTTAAAAGTCTGTACTACTTTTTTGTGCTATACATAATATTTTGGTAGTGTTTTGCATGTTTATTTCAAAGAAAATTTTGGCGAGGTTCAAAAAATGCAAAATATTTTGTATTTTGTCCCTAATATTTCAGGCAGGGTCAAAGCTACAATGGTGCTGACACCAGAAAACCATTCTATGACATCTTACCTTTACAGATGTACCAAAAGTTTCTTCTTAAATCTAATAGCTTTGAGGCTATAAGTTATTTACTTTTGTGTGTTTTTGTCAGGTAGAAATTTATTTATACCCCCTTAGGGTGTAAGAGGTTAATATCAAAGAAAAGAAATTAAACTAAATGAAAAAAAAAAAAAAATTAAGCTGATATCAAATATACTTTGTCTCATATTTCCGAATAATAAGTGTTCTTTAAATCCTAATGTAATATTTTCAGCCTAGTAAAAATAAATAGAATAAGGAAGAGGTGGATGGGTCTTAGTGACAGGAGACCCAACTACTTTAGCGGGACTGGAATGGAGGGTTATTCAAAGCCCAACCTTGAACCAGTCTGCCTATATTTTCTGAGGCATTTTCATGCATCTGCAGTTGACCAGATATTTTCTTTTTTAACACAAGATGTTTGAGAGTGAAAATAAAAGACCATGTTTCCAGGCGCCACCAAACACAGATTTTCTGTATTCAACAGCTCATTTTGAAGTCCAGGTCATATTCATTTAGCTGCAGAAATGCACCAAGCTGCTGTCGTGTGACGGACTGATTCCCAGGAGGGAAGTTTTCATTTTTCATAAAACTTTATAGATGTGCTTTGCTTATTAATTTACCACTGCGTCCTAGAAGAATCACCTGTGGCAAAATAAGCGTCCCTGCTGCTCTTACACTGCTTAGAAAGCTGACCATAAAAAAATCAAAAATTAAGATTGTGTTTCACACAAATAAACAGTGAGGTGTAAAGTGTTTTCAGTGAGTGAGGTGCTGTATCTAAAACATTCATCTGATGTAGAGAAACATTAATCCAGTCTACAGTACCAGTTTGACTTTATTTTAATGATCAGTCCAGCAGAGAAATATTCTTCTAGTTACTTAACTTAGTGGCAAAATGTTAAACATTTGGAAATGAAAGAACAGCTTTTTGTGGATGAAAGTGCCTATGTTCACTGATTTTGTTTCACCCTAAACCGTTTCCTTTTCTCCATCGAGAGAAAAGAGGAAGCCGTCTGCTTCTTTTGCTCCTCTGCGACGTCGATCTGACTGAAGAGCGTCTCATGATGAATGCGCTGTTTTTTTCCCCCATTGTGTATTGAGGATGATGCAGGAAGCCAATGTTCTCTCTACTTAATCTCTACAATCAGGTGTCTCTTGTTTTTCTGGTTACCAGCAAATCAAATATATATATATAAAAAAAAGGAATATTCAACAGTGCAGAGTGGCTCATCTGGATGCAACAAGGCGATTCCTGGGAGCGAGCTGGAATGACGAGGAAGAGCCGTTCACAGGATGGGATATGAGGTGTGGGACGTTTTTAACCTTAAACAGGCCTTAAATAATTTAATAATCCTTTGCTTCTAGTGTAAAGCCTTTGTTTAAAAAACAAACAAAAAACTTAGACATCTATTCACATGTTCTACAAGCCCTTCAACTCATCCGCCTCTAAACAGGTTATTTAGTCTGTCCAGCTCCTTGCAGTTGTCCATGGTCATGAGGTCTGCCTTCTTCCGCATGCGGTCGTCTCTATAGACCTTAGCAGCATAGAGCAGGTCTGTTTCTGATAAAAACAAGCACAGAAAAACAGAGTAAGAGACAGAAAGAGAGAAAACTATAAAGAATCAACAGTGGTTACTAACTTGTCTGCCTCTCCTTCCAGCAGTTATTCCTGACATTAGTGACGTAGTCCTCTTCTACGTTTTTCTCTATTTGCTTCAGGGCCGAGCCCTTGAACTCCGATTTGAAATCTCGGGTGACGTAATAATCGACGCGCAGGTTCTCAGTCTGTCTCTTTACAGTCTGACCTGTGGACCTGAAAGACACGGAGGACATGGTTTGATCAAATGCAGGTAAGAGAAAGAATTTCTTAGAAAAGAAAACAAAATCTAGTTTTAAGTTGAAGCAGAGAACAGAAACAAAATATCTGCAGAGACTATGACGGACGTTCAGTTAAACTCAAACATATCAGTCGTGAAAAATGGGGGGAAAAAATCGTTTATATTTCGTTTATATAAAAAATTCTTCATATGTTTTCCTCCCAGCAGTCTTAATTTGAGAGCTTATACAAAGGTCGTAATAACATTTCTCCAGTCTGGCTGCTCTTTCATTCACTTTAAGTCCATACCTGGATATCGCTGCATATTTAACAGAATGGGCTTAAAGATGTGATGAAAATACCTAAAATAATAAAAAATAAGATGCATTGACAGCAGATGTGCATGCATCTGAAAGTCATATCTCTGAGAAGAAAATTGGATATCTAGTCAAGACAAAACATAAGTGCCTCATCTTTCAGCCGATTGGCTACTGGTTGCAGCTTTTTTGTTTTCCTGCTGATCTTTTGCTGATCATGATGAATGAACAGAAGGAAGGGCGATTAGAGGGGATCAACAAATGTTATCAAATAGGAAGGAAGGACAGAAGAAAAGAGTCAGGAAGATAGTAAGGAAGGAAAGATGAAAATGGAGAAAAGTTCTTAGAAATGAAGAAATGAAGAGAAGGGAATATTTAGGCAGTGGGGTAGGGAAAAGTCTGGAAATGGTTTCTTCCCATACTCGGATTTCCAGACTTGGAAATTAAACTCCACACTTTTCCAGCCTGCATGGGAATCTAGATTTTTTGAAGCAGCTGATTTGAACATAATGAGGTCCTTCAATAGAAACATTGTGGTTCATGTGTAGATTCTGGTCCACGGTGTGTGTGTGTGTGTGTTTGTACGTACGGTCTGGAGTACAGGCTGTAGGGTGGGGGGGACACCATCATCTGGCTCAGTATCGACACCAAGATCAGAACCACGATGGGCATCAGCTGGATGAACATTGAAAAGCCGCCCTGTGGACAAAAGGAGGACATGTCTACTAGATGGAGGACGATCTGTGGGATATAAATGACTGTGGAGCCATTTCCGTACATCTCCCCGTTCCTCGGTCCTCTCCTGTCGGTAATCGTTGTGGTGGCTGTAGCTGGTCCTGCCGTTGGTGAATGTGTGGTTGCTGGCTGCAGACAGAACATCACAACTGTGGTCAGAAACCTGCAGGGATAAGCTTCTTACCAGACACTCGTACAGCAGAGCCATCCTGCTGGAAAACTTTTGGTTTGGTTCTAAATAAGTACTGATGCCTTTCGATAGGTTTTTAATTTGTCTCCATGGACTGGTCCCTTACAGGAGGGGAATCCGCCCCCAAAGAACATGTTGAAGAGGTCTTCAGGCGTAATGTCGGCTTCGAAGCCTCGGTGGAACTCAAAGCCTCCTCCGTGGGATTGGCTGGGGCTGCTCGGCTCCTCCCCGCCCGTCAGGTCGTATTGCCGTCGCTTTGTTGGGTTGCTCAGCACTGCATAAGCGTTCCCAATCTCTGCAGGAAAAAAACAAAACAAAAGCTTAAACGTTTCGCTAGATGCTGTGATTTCCAGCAGGTTAGGGATATTAGCCAAGAAATGTCAAACTTTGGTACAGATCTGCCCAAATCACACCAATAAAAGTGGATTTGGTAGGGGGAAGACATATCTGATTCAAAACTAAAGGGATTCAATTTGTTAATGTCTTTACAGCTGTTCTTATGCCCACTTCCAATGCATTTTCCTCCAATGTTGTTTCCTTCCGCTCAACTTTCAATCAATATTAATGGTTAAGCCTCTCAGAATAGCCTATATCCTACAGTAGGAAGTTAATAAATGTCAGTCAACATAATGTTCAAGTTAAGATGCATCACTGCCTTGTTTGATGCCAGGACAGACCAGGGTGACTCTAATTGTGAGATGAAAATAAAATGCTCCTGTACAGTAGTTTTTTTGTTCAGTTCCCTGCAGTGGATTTTACTACTAAAGAGGGCAGAGTCTGATCTAAATGCTGGTGAAGAGAAATGCACCCCAAACATTGTCTGGAGTCCATAAGGACAGTAAGTATGACTCGAGTTACTTTTAAAGGCTTCTGTTGCTCCGGGAGCCTGGTTTTTGTCTGGATGGAATTTGAGAGCGAGCTTCCTGTAGGCTTTTTTGAGCTCCTCGTCTCCAGCTTCTTTGTTCACCCCGAGAACTTCATAATAATCCTTACAGCGCTTTATTCTGCAAGACATGGGACAGAAACATCAAGACATGGATTCAAACATCCCTCTTTTTTAAATGTTTGTGAATCTGACCAGAATCAGACCAAACTACTGATCCTTAGAAACATAGATGTTCAAAAAAACTCAAATGCAATAAACTAGAGAAAGCAAAGGCTTCAGGGTTGAGGAGACGTTTTCTAGTTGCCTGGATTCAGCATGCACCGTTAGCATCTCTCACAGCTGCCTCGTGGGAAAAGATAAAGATATACAGGTTCCCATAACGACAGGGAAACAGCTGGGACAAAGGCTTAGGCACATCTGATGAAACCAGTAACCAGCAACACCACGGATGAGCAACGGAAATCCAGCGTTTCCAAGCGAATCCTTCGCCCTTACCTCTTCACACCTTCCACCTGCTCCTCTGTGAAGCTTTTAGAGTCACCTCCAGCAGACTCCTGACTCCCTCCTCCTGCAGGATGGGAACCTGCCGATTCTGAGCCTTCTTTGGGCCTCCTGCGATACGCGCCGTTACCTGCTGAGCTTCCATTCTTCAATAAAGCTTCCAACAAAGCTGGAGAGAACAAGAATCAAGGAAACAATGAACTGAGGGAAACAAAGCAATAAGTTAGCTTTATAGGGTCAACATTTCTATTTACTGAGTCCAACAGACAGATTTTATTTCTCTAGTAATCGTGGAACAAATTAACCTTCTAAGTTAGTCAGAGGGACAATGTTACACCCGCGTGTTAGAGAGCAGTCGCTGTAACACTGGGTTTTACCATTAGGATAAAGATTAAACATAGTGTATAGATTACATTTTTAACTGGTCTTAACTTCTAAAATGATTAGGGTGGCTAGCATCATATGGAGCTACATCAGTGATGGTTTACATGAAGGCTGAAAAAGGACTGTAAGATAAATAAACCAAATCTCATTCTATTTAGCTACAAATAACAATATAACATATTAAACAACCTTTATCTTGGGAACTTTGACCCTATATCCAAATAAAGAGGCATAAGGCTGATTTATTCTTTGAAACCAGGTCGTCTGCGTGTATGTTGCGGTGAATGCAGAGACATCCCTGCCCCCTGCCGCAGACACTCTGCTCCACCTCTCAAAAATTGTAGGTGACCGCAGACAGTGCCGCAAGACAGGAGGCCTCTGATTGGTCAAATCTCCATCCGCTCTACACTATGTGTACTTCCTGTTTGGTACCTTACAGGCTTGTTTTTTGTGTGCGATCGCCTTTGTGGAAAACGACTCGTGAAGATGGACCAGCTAGAAGAGTGAGGTGTGCAGCTGAAGAAGCAACAGCTTTGTCTGACTGTCTGACTATTTGCCACTTCGTTTCAAAGAATTACACGGTAACCGATGTAGTTTACCGTGTAACCGTGTAGTTTAACCACATTAAAAACTCTGTTTTAATGTGGTTAAAAGGTGCTATTTAGGGGGTAATTAAGGACAGGGGATAATTATTTCAGTTTACAAACACAAAGTTCATTCTGCATCCTTGTTGCTAGGGGTGTGAATAATAATCGTTTTGTTTCGATGCATCGATCCAACAGCCGATAATCCGATGCATCGACATGTCTGCAAGAGTATCGAATCATTTTTTTTTCTCCTCCGGTCTATTTTTATCCATTTGCTCCTGGACGTAATTCTGACTCCTGTGCTGTGGTGGCGCTAAACTTATTTTGCCCTTCTACCTCGCTTCCTTTAGCCACTACCCTCTTTCTGCTTGTACACACACACTCGCGTAAACAGTAGCCAAGACAGACATAGTGAATGAAGTACAGGCCTATTTTTTGTTACCACCTGTTGGTAGTGCACTTTTGCATTAATTGCACTGATTTGGTTGAGTGTTCTTATTCTATAGTGTGTGTAGTACAGGCCTATTTTTGGTACTTAATCCGCTAGTGCACTTATGCACTCATTGCAGTATTTACTGATGCAAGACCTTCTAGAGTCTGTAACACAGAGGCATTATGATTCTTCAGTGAATGAGGTTTTAACAGGCCTAGGTGGAGTAAAACTTTGCTACTTCTGTTATTTAATGTTGTTTCTCACATAAAATGAATAACGATATAACAGCTTTCATTGATTTATTTCAAATTTAAAACATTGTCTAGTCTGTAAGTTTAAGAAAAAAAAAATATAAAAACGAATTAATTGAATTGAATCATATCGTGGTGTATTCTTGAGTATCGAAAATAATCAAATTGTTGGGTCAGGAAATTGACACTGAATCGAATCGCCATGATGGGTGTGATTTACACTAAATCACAGGATGTCTCTAGATGATTACTTTTGCAAACCCCACTAACAGGAGCGGCTGCTCGACTGTCATGCTTTCCTTGAGGATATTTCCGCATAGTTACCAATTTTCTGAGGTGGGCACTGAGGAAATTCTGTCCGTATGGATGCCATGCAGAGGGGCGCAGAGCCCAAATTTACATAATTTGGTAGCATGAACTCAATGGACGCATAAATCAAAGCATAAATCAAGCTTTGCGCAATTGCCGAAAGTAAGTCCAGACAGGAATTTTACTGAGTTTTATCAAAGTGGCTAAATGATTCAAATACAACCTTTTACATTTTAAAATTTTTATTTTGGCATCAAAAGGTCATGAATGTTACCGTTGGACACTCAGCCCTGTTAAAGGCTTCCTCAACAATATTTGACAATAGTCTACTTAGCCGCTCCGCCCACATCTCCAAAACGAGTTGTTTTGATATCTCTCCATACGATGGGTCAACATCAGGTTTATAATAACTCTCTCCCCTTGTGTTAAACCCACCATGGATGGAGCTTCGAGCCAAAACATAGAAAAGTGTCACTGCGCTTTAGGCTGGACAGCTTTGAGAACCTCGGCCAGCATCAAAGTAGATTCACTAAGTGTTTAGTCCAGTAACATTATAAAAATCACATCCATCAACGCATCTGATGAACAGGAAACACCAGTTAGTTAATTAGACTTTGTGCACTTTAAACTCAATGCTAACATGATGTTGGGCTAGCTAAATGTGGGCAATATAACAGTACTGTAATGCCTCGTTTTTCAGTAGCAATGAATTTATGTTGCTTACAAGCCATGGTTAACAGTCATAATAAGGGATATATTCAAGGCAAACATTTGTTAAAGTTATTCAATGGCATTCAAACACCTTCATGAAGCGTATCCCATTTAGTTCAGTAGCTTCACTAGTGAAGACAGCGTTGCAGTAAAACCAGGCCTCCTTCGTCCCGCTTGGAAAAACAACCAGAAAACAATGCCTATGTAAATACCCAGTCATCCTCAGATATTTGGGAGCTCGAACTGCAATCCTGCCCCTCTGTTCAGAGTTCACCAAGAAATAAGTCAAACTTCAGGACAAGTTCATATTTTGTTATGCAAAAAGAAATATTATCATAGATTTGCCTTTTAGGTTTTAGGTCCATTTCTAAGGGGCATGCAAGTGATTAAAAACTGTAACTTGCCCTATAAAGGGTTAAGGGTCCCAGTCAATTTAAACCACCTCACTGTAGAGACTCTGGCTCATTAATAAAAATAAAAGTCATACTTTATATTATACATACGTATGTTATAGATTTGCCTTTTAGGTTTCCTCCAATACATCTGGTTTGAACTTTTTTGCATATATGTTTCACAGAAACCCAGGTCCCTAAGGATAAAAGTCGATTTAAACCACCTTGCTTTAGGGACTCTGGCTCATTTATAAATATAAAAGCCTTAAAAAGATAGAGTTGAATGTATAACTGTGGAATGCCTTTATATTTTAAAATGAATGATCTGCCAATAAATATACTATTGACTAACCAGTATTGATGGTGGAAGTGGGGGGGGGGGCTCTTGTTCAAAACCCAAATTAATCATTTGATAAATGCAATGATAATAACAAAAAAGACACTTATTTGTAGCGGAGGAGTATTGCTTAAACCTGAGCCTTTAAGTTGGTGGACAGAAGGTAGATAGAGATGAGTGGCGATATAATCTAAAGGTTAAAACCTAAAACTAACAGAACCAGTCTGCAGTGGCATCTTAAAAGATTCCTGAAAATTATCAGATTACCACTGTCACCATTGCAGGGCTTTAACTTTCAAAGATTTATTTTAAAATGGAAAATCTCAGTGTCAAGGTAAGCCATCAGTGATTTATCTCAACGGCATTACACAAACCCTAGAATCTATGTGTATTTCCTGGACAATGTAGATCTTTAACTTTGTTTGTTAGATAACAGAGTTAAAAACTAAAACAAAAGGAGAAAAAAAAAAAAAAAAAAACAGCAGCTTTCCTGTTATCAGCTTAAAAAAAATCTGTAGCCACAATGAACTGTAGACATTGCTGTACTTCTAAATCTAGGTTTCCCTCTCATGTCTCTTTGCTTCTTCCATATTTTCTTCTGTTGTGTTAGGAGAACAGGTTCACACCCTGGGTTTAAACCAGTGAACTTTTAACAAGCAGCTAAACGAATGACAACCTTTTCCAAAAATCAATAATTTGCTCAGAGAATTAATGCAGATCTAAACCTACATCCCCTCAGTTTGGCCCCAGAACCAGGACTGGAGGGCCAACATTGGACTGGTGAATCATGCTGTATGCAAATGTGTTGATGCCCTGAATACCAGTATGTCCTAGTTTACAGATTCTATCACCTGAAAGCTGTTGCATCTGTCAAAGATTAAAATACAAACTCACAACTTTGTGTTTTTAAATAACTTCCACCGAAGTTGTTTTACTCCGAATTTTTTTTCCTGCATTGAAGGAGGTCCAGTTGGACCCTAGAAAAGTAAATCTACCTTTAAAAAAGCAGGTTAATAATCAGTGAAAATTGATTCTGTTTAACCGGATGCATCTGCTGACTGTTTGTGGTTTTGCAATTTCCTGTGAGAGACATTTTTTTTTTTAAATCTTTCTATAAATGGATGAATTTACAAAGAACGGTAGATATCTCAAGCAGACCTATCAAGATAATTTAGACCAGGGGGTCTGAAAGCTTTTGTTTTTTTAAAAAGCCATTATGCTTTTAATAAAAGTTGTTTAGAGACACAAAATATTACACCCTTTTAATAAGAAAAAAAACAATGTTTTATTTTTGTTAAATATCGTCCATAGGAAATCTAAAACATCTAAAACAACCAACATCTCATTCGTATTTTTAGCTTTTAAAGTCGTAGTGAAGCGGCTGTTCCAAACGTTGCATTTCCAGATTCTCCCGAGTGGTGCCTGACTTTACACAAGTGAATAAAGTGAATGTGATTGGTCGATTATCAAGAGGGCAGGATTGTTGTGTCGGAAGGTTCGCAAGCACGTTTGGTTGTGGCCGGTGTCTCGGAAGCTTCTTGCTAACCAGTTAGCAACTTAGTGCTAGTAGGTTCCCAATGGGAAATTAAATTGTGACCAGTGGCACTAAATTGGTGACTTAGAAAAGACACTGTCAAGGAACGCTATGGACAGCGGAAACATGCAAGAGGAGGAGAGTTTTGAGTCGGAGGTCGTGGATGAGTCTCCTCCGTCATCCATTTTGTATTTAGAGGAGGAAAGCGGGGATGAAGATGTTGTGGAAGAGGACGCCAGGGCAGCAGAAGCTTGGTTTGGTGTAGAAGGCTTACAGCCGTACATGTTTGAGCCCTTGCCTCGCAACGCTGCCAGTTCTGTTAGCTCTACGCCTGCTGAAGACACAGACATCCATCCCCGTGAACACTGGGACGGAACTCAATGGGAAAGGAAATGATTGCCATTTCTTATTTCAAGGGTTGCGTATATTAGCTGCAACTTGAATCAAGATGAAAAGAGTTGATTGACAGATGACCGTTGATATATGATTGGCTGAATTTAGGTGTTCAAGCTGACGTATAACTAACTGGATTAAGATAAACAATATATATACAGTATATCCAGGTATATACAGTATATCAAGATAAATAATATGATTTCCCTATGACTTAAAAATTATGGAAAACACGAACAATTCATTAAGATGAAGCATGACTCATAGAGTTTATTAGGTATAAATTAAAAAAAATACAACACACATTTCCAATCTTATTAAGAAAAATTGCTCTAAAAGCATATTTCTTTTTTTTTTTAACGCCATTCTGTTCTGAAAATTGAATTCAAATATTCTTTATAAAAACACTACAATTTCCGAGACTGGTATTTGTTATAATAGTACATTCGTTATTTCTTATACCACGTTTAGCCACTATTTAGATCCATTGTAGAGCGTCCAAAGAGCCACATGCAGCTTCCTTTTCCCATCATTCTTATATAGACCAGAAAACATTTCATTCAAATTTCCTAATCATCTGGACAATGCTGGGTAGCCTGCCCCTCACAGTTACCCAGGCTTATCATTAGAAATACAAACAGCTGGGCCCCAGGGCCTCCAGGCCTGTGCTAACTCTGTTTCCCTACTTGTGTCCTGGATTATTAGCTCCAGCCTCAGAGCTCTCTGCGGGTCAATCACTCAATTAAAGGATTGACTCTGAAAGGAACTGTCTACATCTGTCAGCTAGCAGCGTTACACAACTTCCTCATATTAGCAAGCATCAGTTCATTAGAACATTCTATTTTTAAAGTCAAAATAGTTTTAAATTATAGCCCCTGAACACATTGTTTGACCAACAAAGATGAGGGGGGAAAAGTCGAAGCTGAGAAGGACAAATCTTTGACTGGTTTACTTCATTAAAAGTGTCTCTTTACACTGTTTTCCTCTGAGCTAGGCTAGGTTAGCTTATAGGCCAACGGCTTTATTAGCTAACAGTTATCCCTGTGGCTAGATTTGTTAGAGAATGTATAAACGTCTTTCTTATTTTACTTTAGCATATGTACATATAAATATGCGCTTTATGGTGTATTAGAAGGAAGTACAGGGAAACGTCCCAGAGAACATCAGCTTCATGCTAGCAAGACGGCGGAAGGATCTAAAGTTAGCCTCTTCCTCAGCACACCTAGCCTCACCTTTAGCTCTGTCAGTCGGGTACAGCTTCTCCGCCTTGTTCAGGAACTTCACAGCCTTTTCTTTGTCTCCTGCCTCAAGGGCTTTCGTGGCGATGTTGATACATTTTTCGGCTTCGTCTCTGTTCCCTTCCATCTTCTGCTATTCCTCCTCCTCCTCCTCCCTCCGCGGTCAGCTGATTAACTGAAACCACGTGGTGCACAGAAACTGACAGGTAACACCGTGGACATCATGCAAGAATTAGATCTGATATGTGTGTCTATGGGCGCATTTTTCACAAGAAAACCCATACATAAGTACGGAAGAGTATTATTATTATTTTTATTATTATTTTAAACTGTATTGAACAAAAAACATTATTTTACATTTTCAAGTAGGAATCTCCACTTTTCTTTCTTACAAAAAAATAAACATACACAGGAGATCAACTTAACTTGTGCAAGGCAACAGAAATAAATAGATTTATGGAATGAAATATTAACATCTTTTGTGGGAGATTTTTAAATTTTTGTTGAGTTTTAGTTTGAACTTTGAGTGCATTTAAAAAAACAGCAGTATTAGAATAAAACTGAATTTAAAGAATATCCAATCCTAAAGCGTGCCGTGTTTTTTCTCTAAGGAACTGTGACTGAAGTTGTTCTTTGTACAAATGTAAACTTAAGTGTTTCAAAATTATGATTCAAATATCAAAAAAGAAAGCAGAAATGAATGCAGAAAGTAGTTTTTAAATAAAGATTTTTAAGTTTAAAAATTCACGCTTACATGGGCCTGTGTGGAAATTGTGGAAGACCATTTCTGCCCCTTGAAGGTGAAAAAGTTAGATGTCACGCCAATAATGAGATGTAGAGTCACAAATTATAAGTTTCAAAATCCTATTTCAACTTTTTGAGTCATAATTATGAGTTACAAAGTATATCATAACAGAGAGTTTAAATCTAATAATTATTATTTTGAAAGTCCATAGGGCCTCTTAGTAGCAACAGCTGCTATCATGTGTTTGTGATAAATAACATCTTAGAGTCTTTTAAAGAGCTATGGAGAAAATGGGCACACTTATCTTTGCAGAATTGTTGTAAGTCATGATTGCATGAATAAGATCAAGAACTTCGGTCTTAATTTCTCCTTTGTTTTCCGTCAGCCATTCAGAGGTGGACTTCAGATTATTGTCCTGCTGCAGAACTCAACTTCATTCCATGTTGAGGTTGAATATTCTCCTCCAGGATTTTTCGGTAAACACGTCTCTTCCTCCAGGTTCTGAAGCAGCATAACTACCCCATATCGTTACACTACCAGCTCATATTTTATTGCTGATATGTTGTTTTTTCTGAAATGTGGTGTAACATATTTTCCCAAAAGGCTTGGGGTTCATTAAGATGTGTTCTGTAAAAACTGAGACCAGCTTTAACGCTGATTTTTTTACCCAGCAGTGGTTTTCATCTCAGGCTTTTGCCAAGCAGCCATTTTTGTTCAGCATCTTTCCAATTGCAGGGGCATGAACCTGGACTTCCACTGAGGCAGTAAGGCCGGCAGATCTTAGGTTGTTGTTTTTTTTTTTTTTGAGATCTCATGGATGAGTTTCCTCTTTGCTCTTGGGGTAATTTAGATCAGTTGGCCACTACTGGTGAGGTTCACAGCTGTTCTATGTTTTCATTTAGGTTTGCTACAGTCCAAAGCTTTAGAAATGACTCTGTGACGCGTTTTTAATCCTCAAGTTCCTTCTAATTTTTTCCTGAATTTCTTTGTATCTCAGCATGATATCTAACCTTTGCAGATCTTTTTGGTGAACTATATTCTTCTTCTGTCTTTTTGATGGCAGCTGCCATCCGTCACGCGTTGGATTACTGCCATCTTATGGATTCCATAGTAATGACTTAATTTTTTAATTCTTCTGATGAGACCAGCTTTAAAAAACTAAAAAATTAATATTATTAATAAATAAGGGCGTGTAGGTGGCGCAGTTGTTAGCATGCACGACCCATGTACAGAGGCCTTAGACCCCTCTAGTGTTCCCTCTCCAGGCTTTAGTCCTCGACGCGGCCGACGAGGATTCGAATCCGACCTGTGGTCCTTTGCCTCCTGTCTCTCCCCCTCCCTCGTACTCTCTTTACTGTCAGACTACTGTCGAAAAAACAGTGCGGTAAAAAATAAATAAATAAATAAATAGAAATATACATTTTCCATACTTCATTATTCAACTGTGCCCCCATATCTACAAACGTCAGCTCCCCAGCAAAACACAATTCAATTCAATTTCAATTCAGTTTATTTATATAGCGCCAAATTCACAACACATGTCATCTCAAGGCACTTTACAGTTCAACCAGATCATACAGTCAAATTGATACAAAGTTTTCTATCTAAGGAAAACCAGTTGATTGCATTGACTCATTGACTCAAATACAATCCCCCACACTAAGCATGCTTGTAGCGACAGTGGAGAGGAAAAACTCCCTTTTAACAGGAAGAAACCTCCAGCAGAACCAGGCTCAGTGTGAGCGGCCATCTGCCGAGGCCGACTGGGGTTCAAGGAGACAGAAGCAGAGATACAAAAAGCAGCTGTAAAAGGCGGCCCCGTCCAGGAAACACACAGCCAGGCAGACGAGCTCCAAGGCAGCTCCCATGCCAGAGGACGAAGAGAGCACATCCACTCAGTCACGGTCAGAGAAACAGGACCACACTGGAAAACAGGCCGATCTCCAACATCTATTAACAAGGGTGTTGATAGAAGCAGCACAGCTGATGTTTTTTTCCAGGATGACGTCACAGCCAAACAGGAACAGACGAGGCAAAGCTACTCTGAGGAAAAGCAGAGAGAGCAGAAGGTTAGAGATTGAACTAACAGATTCTGCAGAATAGGAGAACAGAGAGAAAATGAAGCAGAATGATGAAATGGGGGTCCCTATGTCCTCCAAAAGTCTAAGCCTATAGCAGCATAACTATAGAGATAGCTCAGGATAACCTGAGCCACCCTAACTATAAGCTTTATCAAAAATGAAAGTTTTAAGCCTAGCCTTAAAAGTAGACAGGGTGTCTGCCTCACGGACTAAAACTGGTAGTTGGTTCCACAGGAGAGGAGCCTGATAACTAAAAGATCTGCCTCCCATTGTACTTTTAGAAATTCTAGGAACCACTAGTAAACCTGCAGATTGAGAGCGAAGTGCTCTGTTAGGAACATAAGGAACAATCAGATCTCTGATATAAGATGGAGCTTGGCCATTTAAGGCTTTATATGTGAGAAGGAGGATTTTAAATTCTATTCTTGATTTAACAGGAAGCCAATGAAGAGAAGCCAGGATAGGAGAGATATGATCTCTCTTTTTCATTTTCATTAGAACTCTGGCTGCAGCATTTTGGATCAGCTGAAGGCTTTTAACTACAGTTTGTGGACTTCCTGATAGTAAAGAATTACAATAGTCCAGCCTTGAAGTAACAAATGCATGGACTAGTTTCTCAGCATCACCCCTGGACAGGATATTTCTAATTTTTGCAATGTTCCTCAGATGAAAGAAGGAAATTCTAGAAACCTCTTTGATATGGGATTTAAATGACAGGTCCTGATCAAAAATAACACCAAGATTTTTTACTTTATTATCTGAAATCAGTTTAATCCCATCCAAATGAAGTGACTGGCTAATCAGTTTCTTTTTCAGAGACTCTGGTCCAAAGACTATAACTTCTGTTTTGTCTGCATTCAGAAGCAGAAAATTAAGAGTCATCCAGGTTTTTATGTCTTCAAGACATGCCTGTAATCTATGTAATGGGTTAGCTTCATCTGGATTTATAGACAGATATAGCTGGGTATCATCAGCATAACAGTGGAAATTAATCCCATGCTGTCTAATAATTCTACCAATTGGGAGCATGTATAAAGTAAAGAGAATTGGTCCTAGCACTGATCCCTGTGGTACTCCACAGGTAACCTTTGAGCGTGTTGAAGATCTATCATTAACATGAACAAACTGAATTCGATCAGATAGATAAGATTTAAACCAGTCTAGTGCTGTTCCTTTAATTCCAACAAAATATTCAAGTCTTTCTAAAAGAATATTATGGTCAACTGTATCAAATGCAGCACTAAGATCCAACAGGACGAGCACAGATACAAGTCCATTATCTGAGGCCATGAGAATATCATTAGTGACTTTCACCAGAGCTGTTTCAGTGCTATGATGAGCTCTAAAGCCAGACTGAAACTCTTCAAAAAGTTCATTATGGTGGAAGTGATCGCAAACTTGTTTGGCAACTACTTTCTCAAGAATTTTGGATAAGAAAGGAAGATTGGATATAGGTCTATAATTGACCAAGTCATCTGGGTCAAGAGACGGTTTCTTAAGCAGAGGTTTAATTACAGCAATCTTAAAAGCTTTAGGTACATATCCCTGTAACAGAGATAGATTAATCACATCTAAAATGGAGGAGGAGATCAAAGGGAATACCTCCTTAAATAACCTGGTTGGAACTGGATCTAACATACAAGTTGAAGGCTTAGATGAAGACAATAATTTTGCTAATTCAGAGAGTTCAACTGGATCAAAGCAGTCTAAACCCGGTTCAGATTCCATGACTACCTCAGGTACAATCGCGGATCGAGGAGTGCTTATGATCTTTTTTTTAATAAGATCAATCTTATTTATAAAGAATCCCATAAAATCATTGCTGCTAATAGCAGGTGGAATGGACGGTTCAACAGAGCTATGGCTCTGGGTGAGTTTGGCAACTGTATTAAAAAGAAATCTAGGATTATTCTTATTCTCCTCTATTAATGAGGAGAAGTATGCTGCTCTTGCTTTACAAAGGGTCCTCTTATACAGCAGTAAACCATTTTTCCAGACTAGGAAGGACTCTCGCAGGCCTGTGGAGCGATATTTTCTCTCCAGTTTCCTAGCATTTTGCTTCAAAGTACGCAGCTCTGCATTAAACCAAGGAGCAAGCTTTCTATTTTTAACGGTTTTCATTTTCAAAGGAGCTGCGTTGTCTAAGGCAATACGCAGAGAACTAGCAACCCCATCAACAAAATCATCAACCTGTGAAGGGGAATAAGCTAAGCTTTTGCACTCTGCAGCACTGCTCAGTGACACAGAGCAGAGAGAAAGTGAAGCAGATTCTTTAAAATTTATAACTGCAAATTCTAATCGGAAAGATTTCCTTTTAATTTCATATCTACTGCCCCAAATAAAAACATGT